ATGAACCTGGAGGATATTATGCTGAGTGAAATTAGTCAATCACAAAAGGACAAATTTTGTATGAGACCAATGTTGTTAAAAGTTAAAAGATTTTCTTGATAAAAGAAACAATCTATGATAGTTACATGGAGATAAGTAGGGAGGGAAAATTATTCATAGGCTAGAGGGTAGACACATGCTAACATGGATGACAGAGCAGGCAATATACAACAAGAGGGAGGTTAGCAGAGGAACGATGAAGGTAGTAGAAGACACAGGGGGAATGCAATGTTAAAGTGAACAGAGGTAAATACTGGTAACTGTTGGTATATCAAAGGGATTGCAATCATTGTAACCAAGCAAAGTATGTGATTTGTTGAATGGAAAACTGATGATCTGCTCTCTAAACCTTCACTCTTTCACAATATAAAGTTTTTAAAAAAGAAAAGAATCAGAAGAGATTGCCTCAGTAGAGTGGCCTGAGGACTGCTACTTTTTTTTTTTTTTTTTTTTTTTCAAGTTGGAAATGTATAATACTTTACTGTCTTACGTAGTTCCTTTATACCACATATTGGACAACTTAGCTAATATACTAATTGATTTATACAGTTCTTTTCAATTCTATCTAAAAACAGAAACTAAAGGGGAAAGTTACATAAGATTCTGTTTGAGCATACATAAGGCCATGAGACTTAATATGAACCACGACTTCTTGAGAGAAAGAAGACATCCAATGTCCTGTTCAGTGAGAAGGCTTCTGGCTAGTTATCCAGTAGACTCTCCATTCTTCGATGAGGAAGATGATGCTTATTTTGTTAAAAATCTATACAAAGCTGACATACAGCAAGACAGTTCATCCTAGATTTGTGACTGCTATGAGCACTTAAGGCTGTCATTTTCAAGTATAAAAGTTTAGTGTTCCATTACGCAATCTGTGCAATAGATACAGCTATAAACTCAAGTCATGGAAATTAACAGAATCCCATCACAGACACAAGAACTCATAGTTTAGGCAATAGGAAGTTTAAATGTAAGAAAAGCTGGGGTAGCGGGGTACCAGGTGGGATTATGGTTTGATTATATTTCTCTAAAAAAATTGCATTAATTTGTTCACACTGAAACTCTTAACACTCTTGTCTGTGGCGTGGCATTTGGAATAAGGCAAATCCACATGAGACCCAAGAAAGCTTAATTAGGTAATAGACTTAGTTCTGAAGATGGTTCGCCTCCAACACAGTTCTGTGGCCTGTTCCACCAAAGAGCAATTAAACCTGGCTCTGGTTGACCAAAGAAGCATCAGAAATGAAGAACATTTTGTCTCTGATGATTTTTTAAGAACCTTTCACCTAGAGCCCAACATGCACTGTTTGCAGAAGAAATGTCAGTATTTTTCATTTCTGACTTGATGTAATATTGTAAACTGTTATATGGCTGAAGAAAGGTGGTATATGAAAGTCAGTATTTTATATAACTTATACTCAGAATAGCTCTGTAACTTCTGTTATAATTCCAATATTGCTCTGAAAGGTGATACCAGTTATATCATGGAAGCAGCTGCCCTGCTGTAAACTCCATGCAGCATGCTGGAGTTCTAGGTCTTTTCTCTTTAACACAACCTAAAGTTCCTGGGGGGAGGGGTCAGTACACATACACTTCCTTGTATCATTTGATGTACACTGCCAGTGGGGGGAGAGGGGGGCGGATTAAGAAAACATTTACCAGTTAGTCCATAAAGCTAAATTGAGTCCAGGGTTGTGGCAAAGTGTGACCCCCAATTTTAATTTGTAATTGTAGCATGTATCTCATGCAGTTTTAGGAGCATTAAACTAAATCTACAGTTGCCAGAAGCCTCGTTGCAGTATAATGCACACTAACTAGAATGTGTAGTTTTAGTGTTCATGATAAATGCAGTTATGACCTCATGACACTTTTGGCATTCTTTACGAAAGTACGTTACATTTTAATATAGGAATATTTAGGTTACACTTAATTTGTGCTCAAGTAATAATAAAACATTGGTTCTTTTTCCATCTACATTGTCTCCTCAGGTGTGGCCCATCTCCTGCACACTTGGAGCAACCTTTGGCTATGTGGCTGGCCTTATTATCTCACCACTCTGGATATACTGGAATAGAAAGCAACTTACATATAAGAACAATTAATTGAAGTAAAAGGAGGAGATATTTCTTTGTGCAGATTCCATAAAGACTGTGCAGAAATGTTATTGGTGAGAGTCAAGCAGTTCCATTTACAGCACTGTTTTGTTTTCGTATGTGTTTTTTAATGTAGATACAACATGATGTGATTGTAGCTTTTTAAACTATGAAACCCCTGAGAGATTGTACCTTCTATTGAAATAAAGTATTTATAGTAGATTGTGGCTTCAGATGCTGTTTGCTGCTTCTTGGACCTTTAAGAAACATTCTTAATGAAATCTATAACTTATGAGGGCAGGGTTTTTTTTGTTTTTGTTTTTCCTACCCCCCAAGTTTTAAACTACTTTATCTACAAGAGGTCTGTGTAGAGCTGTAGTATTTCATATGCTTTCTGAGACAAATAGACACGTTTCCTTGGCCACTGAAGACATTTCTCACGTAATCAAACAACAGTTTATACATCTTGATCCTATTCTTTTTTTTACTGTGTGTTTCTTTGGAGTTAAGATAGCTATAATAGCCTCATCAAAAACAGTCTTCAATCCCTTCTGGGTTAAAGCTGAACATTCCACATAGCAGCATGCTCCTATCTCTTTTGCTAGTTTCTGTCCTTGTTCCACACATACAGGTTTTTCTTTCATATCATTCAGTCTTGCTAATGTTTTGGGATCATCTCGTAGATCAATCTGAGTTCCTATTAATAAAAAGGGGACATTTGGTGCATATTCCTTAAGTTCTGGTACCCACTCCTCTTTCACATTTTGAAATGAGGCTGGATTTACCACAGAGAAGCATATAAGGAAGACATCAGTCATAGGATAGGATAAAGGCCTCAGACGATCATAGTCTTCCTGTCCGGCCGTGTCATAGAGTCCCAGAAGATACTGCTTGCCCCCCACGGTGACGCTGACCGCGTAGTGGTCGAAGACGGTGGGCACGTACTCCTCCGGGAAGGCGTCGTTGGCATAGCTCATGAGTAGGCAAGTCTTGCCCACCGCCCCATCGCCGACCACCACGCACTTGAGCATCAGCGCGCCGGGCCCGTGAGCCATGCTGCGGCCGGCCGGCCTCCGGGCATGGTCCCCCCGGAGCCCCCGGCCCGGCCCCGGGCTCAGCCCCAGCCCGCCTGGGGGGTCCGACGCCGCCGCCGCTCCGCACAGCAGGGCCGCCCCCCCGGCCCCATGCAGCGGTTCTCCCCGCCCGAGGGGAGGAGGCGGCGGGCCCGGGGCACAGCCGCTGCCTGAGTCGCTGCCTGGGTCCCCTCCCCGGCCCTGGCCGCCGCGCCCGCCCGCTGCCTCCGCTGCTCGGCGCCCGCACCCTCTAGCTGGCCGGATCTCCCCAAGAGGATCCGCTGGATCATAAGAGTGTCCGGCCCCGGGGGAGACAGCAACTTTGGGGAGGGCAGTGGAGGGAGGACTGCTACCTTTTAAGTAACTGTTTAATTCTGTTTGCTTTTTAAAAAAACTTTTCATTGTTATTTGTGTGATACCTTACATAACAAATTGATTTTCTATTCAACAAGTCATACACAGCCCCCACAATGTAGCAGCTTTCCATCCCCCTTCCTCCCTGTGTTTACTGTTTCCATTCGTCCTTCCTTCCTATCCCACCCCACCCTCTAAACTTTATCCCTGGGCAAATGCTGCCCTTTGGATCTCCTGTGGTTGATTGTTCTAAGGAGTGCCTATATCCTTGATGTTACTATTCACTTTATAATCCTGTTTATTGCTTAGCTGAAAGTTGAGTCATGGGGATGAGTTTAGTTCCAGGCTCGAAGAGTGTCTAAAGGTCAGGGTCTCAGGGGTTCAGTCTCTATCATACCTATAAAGCCTAGACATTTTATGATTTTGAGTTTTGTCCCACAGTTTTCTCCCACTCTATCCAGGACCTCCTATTGTGACCTCTTTCTGAGTGGTCAACAGTAGTGACCAGGCACCATCTAGTCTCAGGGTTATGGAGGCTGAGGCTGGTGTGGTCCACTAGTCCTTTGGCTAATTGTTTCCATGTATCTTTAATTTTCTTCACTCTTCACTTAAGATGGGGAGAAACCAATAGTTGCTTCTTAAATGGCCATTCACAAGCTTTTTTTTTTTTTTTTTTAGCTTTTTATTGTGAACTGAGTGAAGGTTTACAGAACAGAATACCAGTTTTACATTCAATGTATTTCTGTGTGTTTGCTCTTTCTGTTCTGGAATTCCGATCACCATTAAGTAGTTAATCTTCATGGTGTCCTATGTAACTCTTAGGTTTTCTTCTGATTTTTTTCATTCTTTTTTTCTGATTGCTCTTTTAGCATACAAGTATTGAGAGATTTGTCTTCAAGCTCACTAATTCAGGCTTCCATTGCTTTGCATCTGCTGCTTTGCCCTTTCAAAGTAGTGTCCATTTCTGAGATCTTAGTATTAAATCTCTGGATTTGTAATCACAGGTTATGTATTGCTTCAAAATTTGCATTTATTTGTCTGTTTGTTCTTCTAGTGTTTTCCTGAGTTCTTCATATAATTTGCTTCTTTAAGTGGTTGCAATCCCCTCCATGTACCAACAATTAACAGCATTTACTTCTATTCACTTAACTATTGCAATCCTCCCTGTGTCTCCTGCTACCTTCATCTTTCCTCTGCTAATCTTTCTCTTGTATATTGCCTGCCCTGTCAGCCATGTTAACATGTGTCTACCTTCTAGCCCATGAATCATTTCCCTCCCCCTGTATCCATCATAGATTATTTCTTTCATCAAGAAAACTTTTTTCTTTCTTTTTTTTACTTTTTACAACACTGGTCTTATACAATGTTTGTCCTTTTGTAACTGACTAATTTCATTCAGCATAATGTCCTCCAGGTTCAACCATGTTGTGAGATGTTTCACAGATTCATCATTATTACAGTATTCCATTGTGTGTATGTACCATAGTACATTTACCCTGTTTCCATCTTTTTGATGTATCTGTTGTAGATAGCATATTGAAGGATTCTGTTTTCGTACCTACTCAGCTATCTGTCTCTTCACTGGAACATTTAATTCATTTACATTCAGTGTAATTATCAATAGGTATGAATAGACTGTTGTCATTTTTCTGTGTCTATTTTTTGTGGTGCTGCCGGATTTTTTGTTCCATAATTTTCTGTGCTGAGTTCATTTTGTTTGTGGATTTTCTTGTCATCCTCATTTTTGTTGTGTTAATGTTTACTAAATCTTTCTGATTTTCTTCTTTCATTCTTTTTTTTCCCCTTCATTCTTTTTTATTTTGATGTTTTGGTGTATCGCTTTCCTATGAGGTTATCCTTAATTTATTAATTTTTCCCCTACTTAAAACAGTCTGTTTCACCTTGAAATCTACTTGCCTTCCTTGTCATTTGGAAGTTCTGTGTCTATACTATTCCCACTTTTTGCTTTATAGTTGACTTCGTTATACATTGATAGCTCTGGTTCTCTACTTTCAGTCTTGTAGGTTTGTTTTACTTTAAATACGTCTATATCTGGATTGAGTTCTGACTGGTGCTGTCATGTATGATAATCTCAAATTGTTGTCTGTTGTTGCTGGTTCTGTGTCCAAAGAACACCCTTTAGCATTTTTTATAAAATTAGTCTGGTCATTACAAATTCCTTTGATTTCTGTTTATCAGGAAATGTTCTAATTTCGCTGTTGTTTTTGAGGAACAGCTTTAATAGGTACATGATTCTTGGTTGGCAATCTTTTCCTTTGAAAATTTCATATATGTCATTTCATTGCCTTCTTACCTGCATGGTTTCTGCTGGAAAATCAGAGCTTAGTCATATTGGTTCTCCTTTGTATGTAACTTTTTTTTTTTTCCCCTCAGCTTTTCACAGGATTCTTTCCTTGTCTTTGCTATTGGAGAATTTTATTATATGCATTGGTGATTTTCTTTTGATGTCTATCCTGTTTGAGATTCATTCAGTTTCTTGAATGTTTGTCTTCTCATCTTGCATGATGTTAGGAACATTTTCTTCAAACAACTCCTCAAAAATTTTCTCTGTGTTTGTCTCTTTCTGGTCTGGATTTCCGATCACCAGTAAGTAGTTAATCTTCATGGTATTCTACTTAACTCTTAGGCTTTTGTCTGATTTTTTCATTCTTTTTTCTGATTGCTCTTTTAGCATACAAGTGTTGAGAGATTTATCTTCAAGCTCACTAATTCAGGCTTCCATTGCTTTGTATCTACTGCTTTGCCCTTTCAATGTAGTGTCCATTTCCGAGATCTTAGTATTAAACTTCTGGATTTCCAATCGCAGGTTACGTACTGCTTCAAAATTTGCATTTATTTGTCTGTTCTTCTAGTGTTTTCCTGAGTTCTTCTAAAGTTTGTATTGTGTTCTCTTTGCTTTCCTGTATCTTCCTATCGGTCCTTTTGAAGGCACCAAATTAATATTCTTTTCAATTTTTTTTTCCAGTTAGTTCTATTAGCTATTCTTTCTCAGAAATGATTTGTGTCTCTGCATCTTGGTCACTCATTGAGAAATTCTTTTGTGTTTCTTCATGTAAGCTAAAATTGTCAATAGTCTCTGGTGCATCGTGAGGTTGTTGTATTTATCAAAACAAACACTGCAGTTGTTGGACCCAGAGGGGAGAAATCTCTGCTGGGGGGGGGGGGGCTCCTGCAATTCAAGGAGCTCATGAGGTGGTTGTAGAAGGCATGTGACAACAGAGTTCCTGACCCTAGATGGGGTTCCTGTTGGTCTCAGTATTATCTATGTTCAGGGCACTCAGTCAAGAAGTCATTCATGGGGGCCCTTGATCGACTTGATTTTAGTGTCTGTTAGGACCACAGGACAGCTGGGTGCAGCATGGTTAAATAGGGTCTGGGGACTATGTGGGCTTTGTAGACCAGAAGCTGAGCCCAGGCACCAAAGTGGCACACCAAACCAACACAGCCCACCCCACCTCACACTGTCCTGGCTCCCAACCAGGCGACTCTGAACTCCTAGAGAGCAGGTTCTGCTCTGGGGGTGAATGAGGGTGGGAGCAGGCAGCACTTCTGGTCACCAGGGCAGAGTGAGGGAAAAGAAGAAATTGCAACATTTCTGTCACGCGCAAATCTGCTCTGCTAGGCCTCCCTCCACTGCAAAGCTGCTCACAAGACAGTGGAGCAGCATCTGGGCAGCCTTTCACCAATCTCCTCCCTTTCTTGCCGTCTCTGCTCAGCCCCTCCTCCCAGAAAGCACCCCATCTACCTCTGTAACCTTTCTTCTGAAGTTCGGGATGCTGGAATTTTCATCTATGTTTTATTTTGTCTCTCATATGTTTGTTGTAGAGGGTCCTATAGTGCATCTGCCTATTCTGCCATCTTGCCAGAAGCCTATTCACAAGCTTTTAAGGCTCCAATTGCTACTCAACAAAGTAGGATGTAGAACACGGTCTAAATCTGTGCACTGTGTTATGCCATCTGACTTTGATGTCCCTGAGATTATGGTCCTGAGCCCCAGACCTTGTCACTCATATCCTTAAGGTGCTTTGTTATGACCATCAAGTTTCCATAACTTTCTCCCTATATGCTCTACTATACTTGTGGATATATTTGCAGCACATATAAATACATGTGTAGAAATATTCTGTCAAACTTCCCCTTAACTCTTAACCTTGTGGCTACCTCAACTCAACACCTCTGTACCTCCCTCCACCATTCCCACTCTCTATACTTTTTGGTAAGTTCCTTCCTACATTTCTTCTCAAGGACAAAGCCCAGTAATTATGATTGTCAAAATCAATGCCAGGAAATGGCACCAGCACTAAGGAAGGGGAAGAATGCAGAAAGTAAAGTCTTCTTCAGTTTTTTTGTATACTCCCACCCAAATTATTCATCCCCTTCCCAACAATTAATAGGAAGAAATAAGTTACGTATGTTTCCTGATAGAAAATTGGTGTGTGAATGGGTGAACCTTGAGAAAGTAAAAGGGAAATCAGAAAAGATAATTAGATTCTACCTCCACTTTAGGGTTATTTTGGAATCATTCTTTGCTATTGGTTAAAAAAAAAAAAACTGAAATGTTTCTAATAGTCTTTGATATAGCGATTTTCCTTGTCTCCTCCCTTGAGTAACTTTTTAAACCAGATTTAAAGAAAACTAGATTAACCAGCCTTTTCAACGAAGTTAAGAATTAAAAAGTCCTTTGCTGTGGGTTAGGTGTTGGGCTGCTAACCTCAAAGTTGGTGGTTCAAACCCACCAGTGGCTCCGTGGAAGATTTTCCATCGTGGAAACCCTAGGGAGCAGTTCTACTCTGTCCTATAGGGT